ACACACACACACACACACACACACACACACACACACACACACACACACACACACACACACACACACACACACACACACACACACACACACACACACACACACACACACTGACAGGGTCGGCGCAAGTGACGCCATCTGGAGAGACAAGGGCAAACTGCTGGTACGGCTATCAGTGCCGCACACAACACAACCGGCCCCATCATGCAGTCCGCTTCAACCACGTGTGCGATCCAAGATGATCCGTGGTTGGCGGTGGAGATGGTTGTGCTGTGAGTCTGCTCATGCTTTGGTGCTTGGTTTTGTGTGTGTGGCGTCATCGTTGCTCTTGTCACATGGTCGTAAAATGTACACCCAACGAAGTGAGATTGAGTGAGTGGAGTGAGGGTTGAACACACGGCAGATACACGCACAGACAGAGCGAGAGAGAGTTCAGACACACACACACACTCTCTCACCCAACCCCTCCCAAGCAAGCAAGCACAACACCCAAGCACCACAAAAAATTGATTGCTTACGCCAGCAAAAGCCTCCAATGCCGATTATTAGAGGCTATCTTTAACCAATTCTCCGCTGGCGCTTTGCACCATCGCCGACCTACCACCGTTGTTGCACACACACACGCACTCTCACGCCACACACACACACCAGCAGCACTTCCTTTGTCCTTCTTCCTCTTCTGCTCTGTTTTGGTTTTGTGTGTGCGTGTGTATGCTTCCGCTGTCATCCACCGCCCAGCCAGCCAGCCAGCCATCAGCCGCCTACCTCCACACCTGTTGCTGCCATCCATCCCATCCCTCGCTTGACCCGCTACCACGGTTCCAACGGTGCCTTGCCTTGCCTTGCATCCCCCTTTTTTTTTTCCTTTGCACACTGTGTCCACCACAACCCCACAACCACAACCACAACCACGGCACACGCACGGCAACCCAGAACACCAAACAACTGCAACCGACAGCGATGCGGTTCCACGTGCGAACCCCAGTTGTCATGTTGCTGATGGCCCTGACAGTCCTCACGGCGAGTGGGCTTCTCTCTCAAGCCGCACCAACCAACCCCCGCGCCCTGGCCGCACGCAGCAGAAATGGCCATGCGGACAACAACAACAACAACAACAACAACAACAACAACCTCGAGTTGGACAATGGCCGAGACAATGATGATGCCCCGTCGCAGCGTCTTGTCGCCACCATGATCTTGGACGTTGCTGCCGTTGCTGCCAGGCACGGGGTTACAGCACAGGCGGCTGCGAGCGCCTCCAGTGCGGACAATGACGCTGATGCAACCACTGCCAGCGCCGACGATGACGAGAGAACATCGCGTTGGGGGTCCTACCATCGCCGCTTCAACTGGCAAACTCACCACGACCGCCAGCCTCACCATGAGTACCACCACCATCACGACCACCACGATCGTCACTTTGACCACCACCATGAGCCACACTCCGACCATCACAGCGACAACGATGCCAAATCCACGTCCACATCATCATCAACATCAACAACATCATCAACAAGCACAAGCTCAACAACTACCACGACGACAAGCACAACAACCACCACCACCACCACAACAACAACTACAACCACAACAACCACCACAACAACAACTACAACCACAACAACCACCACAACAACAACTACAACCACAACAACCACCACCACAACCACAACAACAACAACAACCACAACCACAACCACAACCACCACCATCCGGGCGCCTGATGTGCACACGGACGACGATAAGCCGACGCACCGTCCACTCGGTCCCTACGGCCCGAGCAACTCGTCTTCACCGTCCGCACCGCGAGCGCCGCCGTACCCGGGCACGGGTCACGCGCCACCGTCAGACCCGTCAAGCGTGCGCTACCCAAACCAGGAAGCGTGGCAGCGGTATTACCAGCACTTCAACTGGACAAAGTGGTGGGAGATGCAGCACAAGAGCAACTTGGCATGGCATGGCCACGGCAGGCACCCATATCCCAGCCATCCTGGCCAGTATCCCGTGAAACCGCAATCCCCACAACCAACGCCGCCTCCCCCTACCTCGACGGCAGCCGCCACCTACACGGCAGCATCAACGACAGACGGCAACAACGGCCACCACCGCACGCGCTGGCAGGACTGGCGGTGGCTCACCGGGTTCTTCATCTCTGTTGGCTGCATCTTTGCCCTCACTGTTGGCATCTTTGTGTTTGTGTTCCGTCGCCTCCCATCATCGTCGACCCCAGCCAACCGCTCCAACAACGAGCACATGCAGCTCCTCGCAGAGGTGCGTGCATGATTTCTGCTCACGTGTGCGTGTGCATGTACATGCACATGTGCTCGTACTCGTGTGTACGTGTACGTTCGTATAAACGAGTCGATGCTTGTGCGTGTATTGTGTGTGCTTGTGTGTGCTTGTGTGTGCTTGCTCTTGCGAATAAGCGCCTTTCTTCCTGCGCCACGATTGTCGCTGCACTATTGTGGAACACCTCCTCCCTGCTCACACCACCAACATGTTCCTACACTCCTCACCACCATCTGCGCCAATGCCCTTCCCCCACATGTCTCCCTCTCCCTTCACTTCAAAACACCTGCCCCCCCCCCCTCTTCTGCAGATTGCACAGTACGATGATCCCGTGTTTATGCCGGCCACCAAGACGGCTGCATCGGGACCCGCGGCGCCGGTCAACCCAGCCCCGCCCTACGACGTCAACACTGCAGCAGGCACCACCCACACCATCAGCATCAGCATCAGCAACGGCAACAGCAACAGCAACAGCACAGACAGCGACAGTGAGGCCTGTTTCCAGGGCCTGGTCACTGCTGACCACCGCCATCACGATCATCATCAGCAGCGTGATCATCATCACCACGGCCATGACAGCGCGTCGTCGAGTGAGGTTGGCTGCTCCTCGTCGCCGTGGTCGTCGTCGATTGCGCACTCGGACCCGGCCACTGCAGCCAGCAACAGCAGTGCCGACCACTCCTCACCGGGGCAGCACTCGCACTCGCACAGCACAGGCAGTGTTGTCATTGCCATGGATGACACACCATACAACAGCAGCAGCAGCCAGCAGCAGCAACAACAACAGCAACAGCAGCAGCATGCTTCGTTGCTGCCACTGCTTCCACTTGACCAAACAACAAGGGAGCAGAAGCAGACGAACAGTCAGGCAATGGCGCTGCCCACTTATTTCCGCACAGATGATGCAGACATTCCCACCATCTCCACGTCATCGTGTTCCGGCGCTGCCAACCCCTCCTCCCCGTCCCCCATCTCCCCTGCTGCCGTGTGGTCTCGCCTTTATTCTCTCATGACTGCCCTCTGGCCAGCAGCAGCCACCACCTCCTCCTCATCGCCGACCCACCAGCACCAGCACCAGCACCAGCGCCAACGCCAACACCACTCCCACATCAGCGGCGGCGGCCGCGGCGGCGGCGCCATCACGGCGGATGTCGCCCAGTACCGCCGGCTGCTGCAGCACCTGTACCCGCGCCACCTGCTCGACCGCGCACACGCCCACCGCGTCCTGCCGCTGCGCACCGCTGTCCTCCTGGGTGATGTGGACCAGCTGTCCGCCCTTCTCGAGGACACGCCCCCATCTCTGCTGGCGGCGACAGATGCTGCGGGCCGCACGCTGCTGCACGAGGCCGTGCTGTCGCGGTCTGGGCTTGACGTTGCGCTCATCGCCATGCTGCTGCGCCACCGCTGCCCGACGGAGGTGCCCGACCTCCACGGCCGCACGCCGCTCCTGTGCGCCTGCGAGCTGAGCAAACCCGCGGCGGTGCGGGCGATGGCGGCCGGCGGCGCCGACGTCAACGCGCGCGACGCCATGCAGCAGACGGGGCTCATGATCGCCTGCGCACGCAACGACGCAGACGTGGCCAGCGCGCTGCTCACCGCGGGGGCAGACAGCGCACTGGCGGACGGGCGCGGGTACACAGCGATGCACTGGTGCTGCGCCACGGGGGCGGTGGAGGCCATGACCCGCCTCTCTGCATTCACCAGCAGACTCGTGGAGGTGAAGACGGGCGCCGGGGACACCTGCCTGCACCTGGCCGCGCGCGAAGCAAACGAGGCCGTCATCAAGGTGCTCATGGGGGAACGTGCGTCTGTCCGCGCCGTGCTGCTCACCTCTGTCAACGCCTTTGGGCAGCGGGCGGAGGATGCCGCGGCCGCCGCCAACCACCACGCCATTGCCCGGCACTTGCAGCAGCACCGCGTCGCGCTGGAGCAGGACGTGCTGTGTGGACGCATGTCGCTCAAGGACCGCGCACCGCGCCGCCGAAGACACGCGAGCACGCCCGCTGGCGATGGCGAGGACGATGGCGACGCCGGCAGGCACCTCAGTACGACTCGGCCCGGCTCGAAGGTTGGGCGTGCCATGTACATGCGCAAGCACCGGCACCGCCACAAGGTGATTTCGCAGCTGCGGGAGACGCGCGTGCGGCACCTGGAGGGGGAGGGCGCGGCCATTGCTGCTGCTGTTGCCGCGCTCAAGGCAGACCGTCACTCCCTGATGCAGGCGCTGGCTGCCGTCTCGCCAGAGCACCTGCAGCGTCTCAAGGGACGCAAGGCACGGCCAGCAAAGCGACGCGCACTGGCGCTGGTCAAGACAAATGGATCAGCCGCGCCGCTCTCACCGCCGCTCGCGCCACCACTCGCAGCATCAGTGGCAGCAGCAGCGCACGGCAACCGAGCAACCAAAGCAAATCGCCGGCGCAGCCTCAGTGGTGCTGCATTTGTCTGATTGACCGTTGCTTTGTTCGTTGAATTAGCAGCTATAGATTCGCGTACGTTGTAACACGTGTGTGTGTGTGTATGTACGTGCGTGTGTGTGTGTGTGTGTACGTGTGCGTATTGTGATTTGTTTTGGGTTGGATGAGACTTTTATCTGTTCACAAGGGGTTGTTGATAGTGGCCGTTGTTGTTGTCATATGTGTGTGCGTGTGCGTGTGTGCGTGTGTGCGTGTGTGCGCAGTGCCCTGCGCGCATGCTGCGCTTCCTTTCTTGACGATGACTGTTGTGTTGTTTTGTGCTGTTAATTTGTTTTCTCTCATGTGTGTGTGTGTGTGTGTTTTGTATGGTTTTTTTTTGTTGTTTTTTCTTGCTGAGTTTGATTCGTTTGACCCATAATTGCTCCCCGTGGCCGTGTTCATCATCCTACCTATTCCGTGGGTGTTGTTGGACATGTGTTGTTCCACGTCTTCTCTCCTTTGTTCCCTTCCACTGTTCCTGTTTTCTCCTACCCCAGACCTTTCACTCCATTCCCCAGCCAATGATGTTGCTTGCCCCCGCCCCCTTCTGCCCTCTCCTCCTCCACTGCTGCTGCCGAACTCCTTCTTTGCCCCCTTCCCTCCACCAACATGACGTAACTGATCACGTTTCTGGTCACCTTGATTAATTCTTCCAATACAGAAAGCAAATCCCATATCAGTTGCCAGTACGTGCGCGTGCGTTTTGTGTGGTGAGCAAGGAAGCACGAGAACTGACTGGCCCGACACACATGTCAAGATAACACGACAAAACAGAATGATGCGCAAATGAGCAAACAGGGGCTAACAAAGCGCAAAGCAACGAGGCGGTAAAGGGTAACACAACCAAAAACAAAACAAAAACAAGCAAACGCACTGGCACACGACCACACAGAGTGATGTAACCGAGGAACAGAATCATGTCACATTTAACAACAAATGGAAAAACCACAAGCGTCACACATCCTTAACAACCCAAGAGCAACAGTGGGTGGATGTAGCGTGGTGCAAAGAACGCAAACTCAACAAAGTCTTGCCAATCCTCATGATCATGATGTGTCATGTCATGCATGCCGTGTCCTGCCGTGTCACACCATGCTTTCCTTGTCCGAGTCAAATCCGTCTGGAATCGTCTGCGATGATGCCGGCAGTTCGTCCGCCAGATCGTCGTCGTCATCATCAAACTCGTCTCGCGCAACAATCGTTGGTTGGCTCACCATTGGCCGGAGCGTGTGCAGTCGCGCGCGCCGCTCAGCACCGCCATCATTGTCGTCACGCGTGGAGTTGGCGCTGTGGGCTTGCGTGTCGTTGGGGTGCAAATTGCTGCTGCTGCTGCTGCTGTTGTTGTTGACGGTTTCTTCACTGTTGTCATCATCACCATCACCATCACCATCGCCATCACCATCACCATCACCGTGCTTGCGCCCGCTGTTCCTGCTCAAGTTCCGTGAGAGCCGGCCCGCGCCCGTGTTTGACCGCGTGCGTCCGAGCCGCCGCTTCGTCGACCGCTGCGACGGCGGCGGCGTTGTTGATCGCCCCGCATTCGGCACCTCATTCACGGGCGCCAGCTTTGTCGGCGACTCCTTCGTGACGCTGCTGCTGCTGCTGCTCTTGTCGCCGTACACCACCAGCTCGTCGTCGTCATCCCACAGCGAGGACCGCGTGCGAGACTCGCGTCTCGAATCGCTGCCGGAACTGAACGTCGAGTCCCGTCGGAAGTGCTGTGCGCGCGTCGTGTTCTGGCGCGGGGGCAGCACCCGCCGCCGCACGCTCGACCCGCTCCTGGGCCCACCGGTCCCGCTGCTGCTGGCACTGCTGGCCGGAGCGCTGCCCAGGTTCAGGTCATCGCTGCTGCCGCCGTTGGTGACAGTGGAGGGTGTCATCGTTCCCTTTCGTCCGCTGGCGGTGCGGGACACGGCGGCCTTTCCGCTGCTGCTCACGTCGCTCGCGCTGGCGGCTTTGATCACGGCCGATGGCGTGGTTGCGCGGGGGCTGCGGCCGTGAAGAGAGCCCGGTGCAGTGCTGGGCACCACCAGCGTGGTGTGGGCGTGGGCATCGGCGAGGTGGTAGTCTGGCTCGATGAGCGATGCAGACTGGTCGAGCGAGTGCGCCTGCTTGAAGAAGCGTCGCCGCACAGACGCGTTGGCGGAGTCAGGCGCGTCTGACCGCGGCATCTGGTGGCAGTGGTTATGATGATGACGATGATGGCAGTGTTGATGGTGGTGATGGCAGTGGTGGTGGTGGTGGTGGTGAGTTGCCATGCAAGGGAAAGGGCATTGCAAGGCGTGGGTTGGATAAACGGGTCAGGAAACAGCGAGCGAAAGGTGTGAGCAAGCTTAATGCGTGTAACATAACGTACGCTGTAGCTGGCGGTGGATGCGCTTGGGCTCTTGCCCTGGGGACGAATGCGCCGAGAGCGGATGGCAGCGCTGGGGGAGCTGGTTGATGTTTCGCAGGGCATGGAAGGGTGGAGGAAGAGGAGGAGGAGATGCTTGTTTAGTGGAGCGATGGCAAGCAAAAGAAGGCTCAAAGCATAGGCAGAAAGACACGCGCACAGAATACTGAAAAGACAGAAAAGCAGAAAAACTACAAACACACACACACACACACACACACACACACACACACACAACCAGCACGCGTGTTGTTACCGCATGGATCCCGAGCTTGAGCGATGGCTCCTGGCGCGCGCAATGGCCTCTGTTTGGCCAGAGAGCGCATCCATCAGCGCCACCTGGTATGCCTGCATGCCTGGTGGTGCAGGTTTTGGGTGCGTCAAGTGCAAAATGGTCCCAGATGCGAAACGCGGGTTGGTAACGTGGTACAGAATCAAGTGACACAACCGCCAGCAGCAGCAGTAGCAGTAGCAGCAGTAGCAAACAGCAGTGACAACGGCTACTCGAGCACGGCTGTCAACTCACGGTTCATGCTGTCAGCGAGGGCCTCGATTTTGTTGTTGACGCGATCGTCCAAACTTCCGATTCGGTCCGTCTGCCGCTTCTCCATCGCCTGTACACATGCACGTGTGGTTGTGCTATGAGCGTGGTGGTGGTTGGTGTCGATGCAAACTAACGCAACTGCGACAGGCCGCGCACACAAGAAGAGCTTGGCAAAACTGCACATGCGTGCTCACATCAAAGTGGGTGATGATGTGCGCCTGCAGGCGGTCGAGCGTGTCGCGGGTGCGGCGCTCCAGCCCCATGTTCTCTGCACCACGGAAGGCGAAGAATTGTGTGTGAACGTGTGTATGCATGTGTTGGGTGTTTGTGTGTTGTGTGCGTTGTGTGCGTTGTGTGCATGTATGTGTGTTGTTTGTGTGTTGTTTGTGTGCGTGCATGTGTCTGCTAGGTGTGGATTGTACGTTGTACATGTGTGCATGTGTGGAGTAGTACATGTGCATGAATTCATCACCTGCGCGAATTGCCTGGACGGTTCCCTGCCACTCGTCAATGCCTTCGCGTTCACCGAGCTCGCCGCCCTGAAACACACGAACGCGGACGTGGTGGTGGTGGCGGTGGTGAGAGGAGGCGAAGGAAGGGGGAAGCCACGTGCAATACAAAACTGTTTCAATGCAAATCACGTCATGGGCATTCCGTGCCGCACCTTGGGCGTGAGCATGTGGAGCCACCGAGGGAAGAAGGTCTTGTTGCTCAGCAACTCATCACCCATGCTCAACTCAATCTCTGGCACGCGGGGAACAAGAGGCAAAGGCGTGAGGCAAAATTGTGGGCAGTCGAGACGGGCGAGGGTCAGAATTGGGATGAGACAAGCGGCTCTCTCAACAACGGAATATGCATGGCACACACGAACACACACACACACACACACACACACACACACACACACACACACACACACACACACACACACACACAGGTGCAGCTGTTGCACCTGCGATGATGCGCGCTTTCTCGAAAGGGAACGCGTCGCCTTCTTCGTCGTTGATCTTTTGCATGAAATCGTCCATCAAGTTGATCTGACCGGGAAGAGAGGGGGGGATGGGGCGAGATGAGGCAAGAAAAGGACGCATCTACACGACAAACAAACAAACACACACACACACACACACATACACACACACGTGCAAAAGCGCACAGACATGCATATACACACACATACAAGCGCATGGACATGTATATACGAGCGCACCATGAGATTCAGCATGAAGATGTTGATGCCAACCATGAAGACAACGAACAGAAGCTTTACAACGCCCGTCTGTCGAAAACAGAGCGACAATCACACGAGAGAGGACATGGAGCAGTGTGAGCAAGATCCGCAAGATCGCTGGCGTCAATTTACACACTCACGCACGCACACGTGCACATACGGAAACACACAGACACAATCACAAACACAGACACTCAGACACAGACACACTCGTACACGCCCCCCCCCCTCTTTGCACGCACCACTGCGTCGTCTGGGGGCAGTCCCTCCTCCACGGTACCGTCGCCAAGGAGGAGCAGCTTGAAGGTCTTGAACACGGAGTCCATCACAGAGTCGTCAATCTGAAACAGCGCGTCCTCGGATGGAATCGTGCTGTTGAACCCATGATGTGAGGCCACGTGCAAACGACGCGAGGATGACAAACAGCAGTCAAGCGGTCGTGTGCGCAAGGGACGTGTGCGCAAGGGACGTGGGCGTGGTGAACAAGGCGTGGGTGAGAAGTTACGTTGGGGGATGCCTTTGTGTTTGTGGCGAATGGATGGCAGCCTTGCGTGGCAACGAGTACTTGCACACATGCCTGCATGTACGCAACCATGCAATCGCGTGGGCACGTGTTTGTGGATGTTACCTGAAGAGGACATGGAAGCAGTTGGCTGTTCCGAGGAGAACAACGACGAGGATGAGGAGGAACGGGCCGGTGTAGTAGAAGATCTGGGAACGACCGGTGGGCGGGACAAGAAGTGAGACGCGTGGAAGAATAGAGGCCGGGGGTATGGAGATGAAGGTAGACGGGGGGGGGGAGCCAAAGATGATGACATGATGAGACGCACAGTACTTGCCACATAAAGCATAGTTCAAACAGACGTGTGTCACAAAACAAACAAACAACAAACAAACAAACAAACAAACAAACAGAGACAAACAGCAATGCGGGCACCTTAAAGACCATGCGGACAAGACCGCCGGTGAATTCAAACGCGCGGAGAAAATAGAGAATTTCGAGCCAGAGGAAGAACGACGCAGCAGACGTGACGGGGATGAACTGAAGCGAGGGGGGGGGGGGAATACGATGATGGGTACAAGGTTGAGGTGGGTGTGGTGAGTTGCGGAAGGGCGGGGAGTGGATGAGGGTGAACATCAGCAGAACGCAATCATGCAGCAAGACGTGGGCACACGCTGCTTCGTGTGTGTTCAGGCACACGACCTAAACCAAGCGGCACGTTGGGAGTTGACTATCACCACCAGCATCACCGGCCGCACCCAGCGAGAGCCGAAGAGGAAGAGGACAGCGGAGATGAGGGCCAGGGTGGCGGTGCCGGATTGCAGGAGATTCCATCCGTCGAGCACAACAGCCTTCACCAGCTCCGTTGGGTTGGCGTGCGGTGACGTCAGCATTGCGGAGCGCAGTGCTGCCTCATCGTCGTCATCGTCGTCGTCATCCTCATACCCAACGCTCCGGTCGTCAGCAGCAGTGCCTGCAGGCACGAAGCGGGCAGAGTGCATTGGCGGGATTGGGAGAGGGGGGAGGAGGGTGTAGGTGGTGTTGGTACATAATGACGGGCACGTGAATGGGTACACAGACAGCACGATGGTTTGTGGACACTCGAGTGCAGGGCAAGCGTCACATCCACCACCACCACGACGATGGGTCAGACCTGAGACAAGGCGGACGGCGGTGCTGCGAACGACTTGACGGTACTCGTTCTTCAGCTGGCGATAGCAGAAGAACGGAATCACCAGCGCCAGCAGTACACTACACACGCACACACACACACACACACACACACACACACACACACACACACACACACACACACACACACACACACACACACACACACACACACGCACGCACGCACGCACAAAGAAACAACGTGAGTGTATGTGTTGGACAAGGTGCACTGTTCAGAGATGAGAGAGCAACAAGACAAAGAGAGGGAGTGGGAGAGAGTCGTGGGTTACCTGAAGACGGTAGTGGTGTCGGAGAAGATGGAGAGAACAGGAGAGGTCGACAGGTCGATCCGCGGTGCCGATAACGAGAACAGCGTGAATGTCACGAGAAATCCGCCAAAGATGCCCAGCTCCCTGCACACACATAACGCAGCATATTCGTCACATCATGCGTGCGTGTGTGTGTTTGGGTCAAAATGAGCAGCGAGAGGCAGAGGGGTGCATAGGTGACAGGGGTGCACAGAGCAGCGAACACAGGACACAAGAACAGGAAACAACAATCATAGTAATAAAACAACAAAAGCAGCCGGTGTTGGTGGTGGTGACAGACCGCATGAAGAGGGAGCGTGCGTACGCCTGCCACTTGTAGTCCAACACCATCTTCAGCAGCGGATTGCCGAACAGCTGCAGCGGAGTACAATACCACACACAAGGAGCAAGCACGTATGAGCAGTGAGAACATTGGTGGGCAAAGCAGCGTGCGCGCGCGCATGTGTGTAACAGAGAGTAAGAAGGACAGCGCGTGCATGTGGGACAGCGCGTGCATGTGTGTGTGTGTGTGCGTGTGCATGTGTGTGCATGTGTGTACCTGAGCGTTTCCTGTGCGCACGAATCTATGGAGAACGGTGTCCTTCAGACAGGAGACGGGATCTGCCGAGGCCGATGTGCGGATCAGGCCGGCAAAGTTTGGGATGCTGATGGTGATGGTGGTGCATGGTTGATGTGTGGTTGATGGTGGCGAGGAGGAGGAGGGTGAGAAGCAATAGGTGTGAGCAACAGAAGGCTGATGGGGTGATGGGGTGATGGGAGCGTGTGCATGTGCATTGGTGGCGTGGCGTGATGACGATGGAGGGAGGGCGCACCTCAGGTACTTGGCCTGAAACCGGACCACTTTGCCAACATCCTTCTCGCCCAAGCGATCTGTTGATGCACACGACGAGGTTGTTGGTGAAAGGTGCGGTGAATGAATCAAACAATTCCCATGAATGGACACATTCGCACACATGCACATACGCACACATGTACAATTACACTCATGCACAATGAACAACAAGAGCACTGCCAGGCTGGCAGGTCGGCGAGAAGGTGTGCGTGCGTACCTTCTTCGTAGAGGTTGTTCCAGTGCGCCTCTGGCAGACGGATAGCCGACGGCATGATCACAGTCCGTGGCGATCGCAGGGACAGCTGGTCCCCCTTCAACTGTAACATCAGGACAACGAGAAGACGGGGGGGGGTAAGGTGTGTTGACATGTGTGCTCATGCGTGGACATGTCTCTCTCTCTCACACTCTCGCACGCGTGCATGTGTGTGAGCGCATGCATGATTGCAGCGTGTGCGCACCACGCCTGGGGCGTCGTCGAGGCCAAACTGCTTGAGGAAGAGGGCGAGCAGGTCGTCCATCTCGTCCGCCAGCTGCAGCAGCGTGCGCAGGAACCGGTCCCGACGCGACGGCACCCGGCTCAGCTGCCCGCTCTGCCCCGTGCACCGCGATTGCGGATGGCGGAGGTGGTGATGATGATGATGAGGTGGACATGGCGGCGCGATGGTGGTGAGGAGAACGAACACAACAGAAGCACATGTGTGGAGATGTGTGTGCAAGTGGTTGTGAACGCGACCAAAGGCGCGTTGCGAGCATGGTGTGCT